TTGTCCAGCTGTTTGTCCGGCTGATCTGGCGTGAAAACACACCGTTGTTCTTTGACCCCCTTGTAATTTAAACATAAAATATAATCATAGCCATATGAATCCAGCTCCTCTCTAGGTTTCTTCTCATTGTGCATCATATTGTTGCTTGCTCCTTGTTTTAGACTGGGTATCAATATAAGCACTTATGGGAACTGCTGATGTAAAATACTTATTAAATACATTTGATTGATTGTTTCTTTCTCTCAACCGCTCCAATCTGAAGCTCCTTCCCTTTCCCCCAAACCCAGACCCCCTTTAGACCCCTTAATCCCCCCCCCACACTCTCTCTTTGGCTCACATTTTCGCCCCCTCCCTCTCCCACTCTGTTCCTCTCTCTGTAGTGCACTTGAATACTAATAGACGTTTTTTTTAATTACTTTTTTTAGGGACCGTCTGAAAAAACTTTAAGCTCTGTGCTGTCTTTGACCGTTGCTATGGCAACTCCACCGGTGATTAATTTATTTAGAGAACGTGTGTGTGTGTGTGTGTGTCGGGTGTGTATGAAAAGGAGGATCGTAGTGGTCACACACTGACAGCAGAGAGAGGGGGAGGCGGTAGGGAAGCAGGTGGGGAACGCCTGGGAAAAGATCCTGTGAACCCTCCGAACACTGACAACAATGTATAGGAGGCCTTTGACGGTCTTTCACAAACTAACGTTTGGCGTCGTTCATATGGGATTTTGCCACCGACTGACCAGTACTGGAGTGGATTTGTAAAACACTGTGTTCGTTAGCTGGGTCAGTCTAAGAGCAGAGTGCCCTTTGTATTCCTTTGTTGTTTTAATATTGTGCATCATGCCGAAACGGCACATTCATATTTAATTATACCAGCCTGTTATTAGATGAAGTGGCACTCTATTGTGACCACATGTAGGACTGTACGTCTGTATAAAGGTTCGCTAAACTGCCAAACGCGTATCCAAGTATGTATCTCTTCTATCGTTAAGCCAAAGTTATATTTTAGCTTGGAGAAAGTATACTTCGAAGATTATATATTCCATGTGATTAGGTACAGATTTTTAGTCTATTATTGAAAGGTCGAAGGTGTTTTGGACAATGATCTATTTAGTGTTCGTGGTGAAATACTGAGTGGATCAACCACTCATGCGGTTTTACCTATTCAATTAGTTTGTTGCACTTCTATTCGATTGCTAATTCCAGTTACATGAAAACGGTATTCAGCAAAGTGATCCAGTAATCCATCTGCTAATTGTCTCCTAGCTGTTGCCTGTGCCAGAATCTACTGGTGAAGTCATGCCCATGCAGGGACTAGGCCCGGAATGCCAAGGTAAAAAAGTGGGCGACACATACACTTACCCTGTAGTAGTCCGTGCTGTACACATCCCTGGACATGCCGAAGTCACCGATCTTCACCAGCAGGTTCTCCCCCACCAGACAGTTGCGCGTGGCCAGGTCCCGGTGGACGAAGTGCTGGGACGCCAGGTAGACCATGCCTGCTGCGATCTGCTGGGCGATGTGCAGCATCTGGGACTGGGTCAGCTCTACTGGTCGCTTGGTCGGACCGTCGCCCATCATCACGGAGTCCGGCCCGTGTGCCCTGCGCAACGACAAGCGATTCCTTTACAGCTCTCAATCACGGCTGGGAACTTGACATTCATATTCAAGGTGATCTATGTAATGTCCCTTTACTCCTGTAATGGCTTTAAGTGGATTGAGAGCGTCTCGGGTTACTAAACATCTAGTTGGCCTTTTAGCCGTTCATACTGAGACTAGCGCGTTCCTTGTCTGTCCTTTCAGTTATGGGAGCAGAACTCCTGGTTGTGTGCTTTAAGGCGTTCTTTATTTTAAACATACAGTGAAGGTCCATGTGTGTCCAGGGTGTTTCAATTAGACAATGAACACACAATAAATCAAACTGAAATTGGCCAAAATCTGCCAAAGATAACTCTGTTCAAACTGAAATTACTCTCTTATTCGAACCTGGCAAACAACAGCAACCAGGAAACTTCTACTCCCTGTAAATCTGAACGGGGTCATCGGGCACACTGACAGCATTTCTCCTGGGAAAAATACTCCCACGTGCTCTGTCCAGCTACCTTATATCCTATATGCCACGCCTCCCAATCCCGCCCCGCCTACTTACTTAAAGGGACCACTGCCCGATTCTCGCCACAATACCTAATGTGAACACGCCCACAGAATGGTTTACCTGAGGAACTTGTTGAGGTCCCCGTGTTTCATGTACTCGAACACCATGATGAGTGGGTCACTCTCGACGCACACACCGTAGAAGGTGACAATGTGCTCGTGCTGAAGATTGGTCAGTAACTCAGCCTCCCGGTGGAAGTCTTTTCTTGCATTCTCACTGGCCTCCTTCAGGGTCTGAACACAGAAGGACACACACACACACGCACACACGCTAAGGCGCCGCATCGCCGCATCGCCACACCCCAAACACTTGCCACACTTTGCTCAGAAACATCTTTCTCTCATGGGCGTTGTTCCTCTTTGGGGAATACTTTTCTACATGATGGTTTGGCTTAGTTCCAGAAGGTGTTGCTCAAACCCACGGACCAGGACGAAATACCAATGTTGGAAGCAGGGTATAAACAGGGCTAGTGTCAACTGGAGTGGTTGTCTACTATTTTGTACAGTACGTGTGACATTGTGTGCAGATGTTGTGTGTTTTTTTCTGGGGTTCTTTGTATTAGTGATTGTAAATAACTAAAGCCCATAGCAATATAAGTTATGAGAGAGAGAAGTACCAGAGAGAAAAAAGATACTTTCAGGAAATGTAAATGATACGGACCAATATCCATATCTACAGAAACATATAGAAATGTTTCTGTATGAATAATTGATTCAGTCCTACAGAAAGTGACATGACTATATGGGCATATGCGTTTGAGTTTGTGCTTCTAGAGGACTGACGGATCCGTTTACAAATGGGAACTGGAGAGAGCTTTAAGAAGCCCAAGAATGACCTGTTGTTCTGATCCAGCTGCCGCTACGCTGAGTGCCAGAAAAGGCCTCCGACCAATTGGATTTCAGGAAACAGGGATTCTGTCGTGCTTAGAACCAAACTGTACTTTCGTGAGCCTAAGAGCTGACGGAGCACTTGACTCGCGCCAGGCAGACAACATTAAAGCGCGTCTTTTCTTTTGACATACTCTGAAATGTGTTAACGGCACAGTCAGTTCTCATATAGCTTTCAAGTGATCCACGCACGGATCTGATTTACATTATGGCATTATGATACAGTATTACTGCCGGACATTTGGTGTTGGACTGCTTTCAGAATGGCAAACAACACACGCGCTGAATCACTGCTGGTGCATAACACGATCGATGGCTCTTATTGGCGGTTGACCATCAACATGGTTGTCTAGCCTAAATGGCTGCTTGCCTTTTCGGAGTTTGCTTGTAAAACCACTACCATTAGTGGATATGAGTACGTCGCTCCGTAAAGACCGGCAACTCAGAAAGTGCCAAGTCATATCCATCATCTTCAGTGGGGGATTGTAAGTACGGACAGAATGTCCCGGCTCTCAAGCCTCACTTCACCCCTAGAATGCGGTGGAAGTATCTTGGTAGGATACAGGTGAGACAGAAAGTCAGGTGGCTGGGGTTTACCTCCATGTCTTATATTGTTTTTATGTTGTTTTTATTCTGCATTGCAAGCAGGACATTGGCAGATTTCTGTCCAATTGTGTTCACTGGTTAATGTAGCACACATCAGGTTGTGATATCACGTAAAATGCAGATTTCTGTCCATTAGTGTTCACTGGTTAATGTAGCACACATTAGGTTGTGATATACAGTAAAATGCAGATTTCTGTCCATTTGTGTTTACTGCTTAATGTAGCACACATTAGGTTGTGATATACAGTAAATGTGTTACCTTGACGGCCACCAAGATCTTGTCAAGTTCTGGAGACAGGTTGTAGCATTCAGCCAGGAAAACCTTCCCAAATGCCCCTTCTCCCAACTCCCTCTTCAGCACTATGTTATGGCGTTTGATGTGCTGGACAACTGCGACACAGGGAGAAACACAGGGCGAAACACAGTGAGAAACACAGGGAGAAACACAGAGAGAAACACAGAGAGAAACAGTGAGAAACACAAAGAGAAACACAGGGAGAAACACAGTCAGAGACACAGGGAGAAACACAGTCAGAGACACAAAGAGAAACACAGGGAGAAACACAGTCAGAGACACAGGGAGAAACACAGTCAGAGACACAGGGAGAAACACAGGGAGAAACACAGTCAGAGACACAGGAAGAAACACAGGGAGAAACACAGGGAGAAACAGAGAGAAACAGAAAAGAGAAACACAGAGAGAAACACAGAGAGAAACAGAGAGAGAAACAGAGAGAGAAACAGTGAGAAACACAGAGAGAAACACAGAGAGAAACAGAGAGAAACAGAGAGAAACAGTGAGAAACACAGAGAGAAACACAGAGAGAAACAGAGAGAAACACAGAGAGAAACAGAGAGAGAAACACAGAGAGAAACACAGAGAGAAACAGAGAGAGAAACACAGAGAGAAACACAGAGAGAAACACAGAGAGAAACACAGAGAGAAACAGTGAGAAACACAGAGAGAAACAGTGAGAAACACAGAGAGAAACACAGAGAGAAACAGTGAGAAACACAGAGAGAAACACAGAGAGAAACAGTGAGAAACACAAAGAGAAACAGAGAGAGAAACAGAGAGAAACACAGGAAGAAACAGAGGGAGAAACAGAGAGAAACACAGGAAGAAACAGAGGGAGAAACAGAGAGAGAAACAGAGAGAAACACAGTCAGAAACAGTGAGAAACACAAAGAGAAACACAGAGAGAAACACAGAGAGAAACACAGGGAGAAACATGTTGAGTTTATAATCAGCGTGAATTTTGTGTGAAAGTAATGCCTACTGGTTGTAATATAAACCTTTTGTTTTCTAGATATTGATGATGATGATGATGACGTTGTAACATGTTTTTATTGGGAAGAGTTGGTGTTTCTCAGTGGTAGAGCGCATGCTTTGTATCTATGATGTCCTGGGATCAATTCCCCAGCTTCTCCCCAGGTCGGCGTTACAGAAGAAAATGTGTCCTCAATTGGCCTACCTAGTTAAATAAAGGTTAAATAAAAATAAAATAATAATAATGTGAATCTTGTATAGCCCCGCTGATAAAGATGTATACAGAGTGGTTGTGTGGCCATAGAGTGGGACTCTATAAATGTATTTGTAAAGTACATTTTATACAACAACTAGACGAACACTTTGGTGTTGTCTTTTCCGACGGGTGACGGTACTGCGGGAGACATCACCAGAGCTGTTGTCGTGGAGACAGAGTCATCATCTGCATCCGACTGACTCCACCCATGTCTTTCTCCAGACCGCACGCGTACGGTGGAGAACACCGGCATATATCCGTCAGCGAGTTACTGTCATCGGGGAGAACTGCGCTGGACCCGGGACACAGACCCTACCGTTCCGTTCTGATCGGATTAAGGAAGGCATTTGAAGAAAACCTCACCACTCAGACTATTACATTACAACGGGCTAGACTTTGAAGCTGAATTGATCTGCAGATTCTGCACTAACTTACTGAGAAACATAACCCAATATTAAAGGGATATAAAAAGGGGAGGAGAAAGAGAGAGAGAGGCGATTAGAACCGGACCGTGTGCATTTAGTCTCCAGACGAGAGAGCAGCTCTTATCAATCCAACCTAAAAGGAGGTCTTTACACAGTTGATCTTTTCCAATAGTGAAATTAACTTCCAGTCCGGTTTTGGGCTGTGTTTAAAACCCCCCAGCTATTAAGAGGGTGACCCCCGGGTTGCAGTTCTGCTTTCAGTCTTCAAAATAACTAACGTGTAGGAACCAGATGTGAACGTTGCCCGGTTTTCAATAAACCCGAGCCAGTGGGTGCGTTAACTTGATGCCGGCGGCACATATACAAATACGACAGCTCAGGGAATCGTACGTACGTCGCCATAGTTCTATACATGTATCTTTTCCCTGACATGTAGTCACTAAATATGTGTACATGGTAACTCATGGCAACTCAGCTACTGGTTCCACACCAACCGTCCACTACACGGGGACATTATTCCCCACGCCTCTTAACCTGCCTGTCCGTCTCCGTAGAGTTGAAGCTAATTTGCCGTGCTCTACCAGAGCAATGTTTCAGCACATTGTGGTGAGTGTCTGGGTCAGTCTTTAGCACCTGTGTTTCGGATGACTAGGTGGCACATTGTACGAAGTGAGAAGTAAACAACCCGTGTGAATACATTCGTGAATCTTATTTTCAAGTAGATATTCTACATTCTATGCCCAGAGGCTGTGTAATCCACTAACGAAGGGCAACAGCTCTGTTGTGTCAGCCTTTAGAGCTTCACCTGCAAGACAAGCAAGTTCTGACAGTCCATTTGAATCTGTGGCAGCATGTGTGTGTGTGTGTGTGTGTGTGTGTGTGTGTGTGTGTGTGTGTGTGTGTGTGTGTGTTTGTGTGTAAACGTCTCTCGTTCTTAATGAGCTCTGTCCACTCTAATGGAGTGGACAATCTAATGGGCACCATTGATCTGTTTCTAAGATATTAGAGTCACACCCATTCCCCTGACAAAATACCTTACCTACACTCTTTATCTCTTTCCCATCAAACTGAATACGACGTTTGCACAGATACACATTTGTTTTTCTGTTCTTGTGGGAACCGTAAAATCGGTATTCAGTTTTTCCTCTTCTGTAGCCTTCAATCAAACCCACATCATAGACCTACCACTTACCCTAACCTTAAACTAGGCCTAACACCACACCCTAACACCACACCCTAACACCACACCCTAACACCACACCCTAACACCACACCCTAACACCACCACCCTAACACCACACCCTAACACCCCCACCCTAACACCACAACCTAACACCACAACCCTAACTCCACCACCCTAACACCACACCCTAACACCATCACCCTAACACCACACCCTAACACCCCCACCCTAACACCACACCCTAACACCACACCCTAACACCACACCCTAACACCACACCCTAACACCCCCACCCCAACACCCCCACCCTAACACCACACCCTAACACCACACCCTAACACCACACCCTAACACCCGCACCCTAACACCCGCACCCTAACACCACACCCTAACACCCGCACCCTAACACCCGCACCCTAACACCACACCCTAACACCACACCCTAACACCACACCCTAACACCCGCACCCTAACACCCGCACCCTAACACCACACCCTAACACCACACCCTAACACCCCCACCCTAACACCCCCACCCTAACACCACACCCTAACACCCCCACCGTAACACCCCCACCCAAACACCATCACCCTAACACCACACCCTAACACCCCCACCCTAACACCACACCCTAACACCACACCCTAACACCACACCCTAACACCACACCCTAACACCACACCCTAACACCCTAACACCCACACCCTAACACCACACCATAACACCCTAATGGCTAACTAACCTCTAACCTTATTTTTAAAACGAACCCCAATAGTCTTTTTTAAACTTAACCTCTAATCAGTACATCTTCTTTCTTCTGGGGACTTATTTGGTTTAACTATGATTGTGGTCCTAGCATGTACAATAAAGCCAAGGTCTCTCACACATACAAGCACACAAGCGCAGTATTGACTGTTATTGATTTACTGGCATTTTGCGCTCGTCAGGCTTTCATGAATCTCTCTGGTGATCTGCTGTGAAAAGCCATCAGACCAAAGTTTAGTAAAATCTATAAACGTTACAAATCCTGTTATCCAGAGTAACGTATAGTGATGATCTTGCTAATGTACAGAGTGACACATTTTCTTGGTGTTTATGTGCTGTTTGAATGGTGTTTATGTGTTGTTGTTTTAATCATAATATATAATGGTTTTCAGGCTACTGTGACAGTCGAGTCAAGTCGTGCAGCCAAACACGTTTTTCTTATTTCACTAATGTTTTCACACAATTAAAATAACACTCTGACACAGTTATAATAATGTGCTTTTTGTTTAAGAGCTGTCTGCTGAGAACGTCAACCAGAATTTCAGCCGGTTTGGACGGATGGAACGTTTGGCTAACTGCATGAAACCCCGAGGCTGTTTAATAAAACCACGAGTATTATGATGGCTCAGCTCGATAAGGGGATGAGTTCTAGTCCAACAGATAATGTGGGTTTATGAAATAGATTTCCTAATGACCACAAAATCAGACTGAGCATTTCAAAGGCCTGAGGAGATGCAGAGAAATGAATAATTCTAGGACAGCATTGACACCGAAAACAAGCTAAAGAAAACCTGTGAACTGCCGAGCGTTTTATTAGACGGATGAGTCAGCCGTGGCCTTTTCATACTCACAGGTGTCTGATTTGAGCATGTTGTTACTGCGGAAGTACTGGGGGTTCTCGATGACTGGGATCTTGGTCATGCCTATGATGACGGCGTCCGGGCCCATCTCCGAGGAGGACGGCGTGTTGCTGCCGTTGGACACGTGATGAAGAGGAGACGCTGAGTCATCGTCGTTGCTGATCACAGACGATGCACCTGCCGGTGAGGAGAGAAGGACGGCAGAGTGAGATTCAGGGTGAAGGAGAACGCTAAAGGGGGAGAAAATAGGAGAACGCTAAAGGGGGAGAAAATAGGAGAACGCTAAAGGGGGAGAAAATAGGAGAACGCTAAAGGGGGAGAAAATAGGAGAACGCTAAAGGGGGAGAAAATAGGAGAACGCTAAAGGGGGAGAAAATAGGAGAACGCTAAATGGGGAGAAAATAGGAGAACGCTAAATGGGGAGAAAATAGGAGAACGCTAAAGGGGGAGAAAATAGGAGAACGCTAAATGGGGAGAAAATAGGAGAACGCTAAATGGGGAGAAAATAGGAGAACGCTAAATGGGGAGAAAATAGGAGAACGCTAAATGGGGAGAAAATAGGAGAACGCTAAAGGGGGAGAAAATAGGAGAACGCTAAAGGGGGAGAAAATAGGAGAACGCTAAAGGGGAGAAAATAGGAGAACGCTAAATGGGGAGAAAATAGGAGAACGCTAAAGGGGAGAAAATAGGAGAACGCTAAAGGGGGAGAAAATAGGAGAACGCTAAAGGGGGAGAAAATAGGAGAACGCTAAAGGGGAGAAAATAGGAGAACGCTAAATGGGGAGAAAATAGGAGAACGCTAAAGGGGAGAAAATAGGAGAACGCTAAAGGGGAGAAAATAGGAGAACGCTAAATGGGGAGAAAATAGGAGAACGCTAAATGGGGAGAAAATAGGAGAACGCTAAAGGGGGAGAAAATAGGAGAACGCTAAAGGGGGAGAAAATAGGAGAACGCTAAAGGGGGAGAAAATAGGAGAACGCTAAAGGGGGAGAAAATAGGAGAACGCTAAAGGGGGAGAAAATAGGAGAACGCTAAAGGGGGAGAAAATAGGAGAACGCTAAAGGGGGAGAAAATAGGAGAACGCTAAAGGGGGAGAAAATAGGAGAACGCTAAAGGGGGAGAAAATAGGAGAACGCTAAAGGGGGAGAAAATAGGAGAACAGAAGAGAATAAGAGAAAGAGAAATGAGAATAGAAGAGAGCTGAAGAGAATAAGAGAAATAATAGGAGAAATGTGCACGTGGGGAAATGTGCACGTGGGGAAATGTGCACGTGGGGAAATGTGCACGTGGGGAAATGTGCACGTGGGGAAATGTTTGGTTCACAATCTTTTTCTAATAGCTCATAAACTTGGGCGTTTTGAGACTGCGGATAAATGAATCGTCTCTTTGAGGAAGAATAAACTTTCCTCATCTCCTCAATAAAGTGTATATGATGCATCTGTAGAAGCATGTAGCTCAGGAGGTCGAGCATGGTTCTGCCAACAGCAGGTTCTGGGTCTGATTCATGGCTCTGCCAACAGCAGGTTCTGGGTCTGATTCATGGTTCTGCCAACAGCAGGTTCTGGGTCGGATTCATGGCTCTGCCAACAGCAGGTTCTGGGTCTGATTCTCATCCACTCCCCACTGTTAGTCGATCGGCCATAACATGTACATTTATCTGCATTTCACATCG